ATATATATATATATATATATATATAAGATTAAGAAATCATAAATCTTATCATTTGATTAGATTTGATGATAGCGATGGATGATGGTGAGCAAGATCGGCAAAGCTAACCCACAGTTTTGAGAGGCTTCCTGTGAGTGGTGAGTTGTGTCAGCAGGGCATAGACATGGTCAACCTGCAAGTATCGGAGGAGATGCTGATGAAAGTGGCGCGAGTGTAGCTGCGACAAAGACCACCAAATTGATTGAAATAATGTGCTTCTGTCATTGAATGAAATCCTGAAAATTTGAGATAAAAAAAAAGAGAAAATAACATGCCATTGGAACATTATGATCGAGAACAAAGGTAGCCATTTTTGGATTAGTTTATCCTCGAAATGGAACGCTGAGTCATCGACAGAGACGAAATGATGACACAACTTTATGTCACGGAAATCAAGAAAGATGCGATGATACCGCCACAGGCCCCCGCCGACGTGGAGTCAGATCTGATCAGGTCCGTGTCAGTGTCTCTCCGGTTGCGGGCTGATGGATTTCTATTAGGAAGAACAACATAGCATTTTGTAAACTACACCTGCAGTTATACAGTGTTGAGAAAAAAAATACCGTGAATGATTTATTTGATATACATTTATTTTGGCTAGATTGACATGAAACATCATTCCACGTAGAATGTTTTCTTTTTGGTACCGTCCAACATTTGTTGACTTATTTAAGATCACCACTAGATAATATTTTACGAAAGAGAAATTAGATCACCCGAGATGTATATCCAATGATGTCCCCATTGGTTAGTTTCATCATCGCTGTCTGCTGAAGACGATCTCATCCTGAGCCTCCAGATATTGCGAAGGGTCACACCTACTCACTGTGCTTGAATTGGGATACCGAAATGCCCCTTGGAATTGAGACTAATTCCCCCCGTCTAAGCCAAATCATGGAAATCCACAACGAAGACGAACAGATCATTTGATGTAGAACTATATGTATATGTATAATCGATCAACACCAACCCATGTATATACTCACGTGTATGCCCATGACGACTATTCTAATGGCTACGTCACAGTGCAGAAGAGTCCAAGAATCTTATCCAACAAGATGGAACACGACAACGCCTATTGCACGAAGCAGTCTCGCACGGGCCACAAGGATCTACGCCACGATCCAAACCCCTGTCTTCCAAATCAATGTCGCGTGCCTCCAAAATCACCCGTCACCCTCCATTATTATATCCCTCCTTTTCCTTCCTTTCCACAAGTTGAGATAAACAAACACGTCTCGTGACCCCATGTCTGCCACGGCCACCAAAATAAGACCGGCTTCCGACTGATTGAGCTCTGCAAAGCTAGCCATGGAAGTAGATGCGCTGCAGTCTCACTTCTCCCTCCTCTTCTTCTCCTTCTCCATTTCCTTGGTGGTCGTCGCGGTTTTGGTGGAGCTGCTGAGGACTCGGCCATGGTGGTGCAACTGCGCCGTCTGCAAGGCCTACGTGACGTCGTCGTGGTCGGCGGAGTTCGACAACCTCTGCGACTGGTACGCGCACCTCCTCCGGGAGTCGCCCACACGGACCATCACTGTCCACGTGCTCGGATGCACCGTCACCGCCAACCCCGACAACGTGGAGCACATGCTCAAAACCCGCTTCGAGAACTACCCCAAGGGAAAACCTTTCGCCTCCATCCTCGGCGACCTGCTCGGCCGCGGCATCTTCAACGTGGACGGCGAGCACTGGCGGTTCCAGCGCAAGATGGCGAGCGCTGAGCTCGGCAGCGCCGCGGTCCGCGTGTTCGCCTCTCAGATCGTCGCCGAAGAGGTCGGGTTCCGCCTGCTGCCGCTACTCGACATGGCGTGCAAGAACGATGCGGTGCTCGACCTGCAGGACGTGTTCCGACGGTTGGCGTTCGACAGCATATGCAAGATCTCGTTCGGGCTCGACCCCGGCTGCCTCCAGCTGTCGCTGCCCATGTCGGAGTTCGCGGCGGCCTTCGACAAGGCCACGAGGCTATTGGCGGGGAGGGCGACACATACGATTCCGGCGATATGGAAGGTCAAGCGGCTCTTCAACCGGGGATCGGAGGGACAGATCCGAGAGGCGATCGAGCTGGTGGATCTTCTGGCCAAGGAGGTCGTCCACCAGAGAAGGAAGTATGGCTTCGCGTCGGACCAAGATCTCCTGTCCCGGTTCATGAGATGCATCGACAACGACAGGTACCTCCGCGATATCGTCATCAGCTTCGTGTTGGCCGGCCGCGACACCGTCGCGTCCGCCCTGACAAGCTTCTTCATGCTACTCTCTCGCTACCCGGCGGTCTGCTCCGCCATTCGAGACGAGGTCGAGGACATCGTTGGGAACGCCCCAGCGCTCGCGAGCTACGACCAACTGAGGGAGTTGCACTACTTGCATGCGGCCTTGTACGAGAGCATGCGGCTGTACCCGCCGGTGCAGTTCGACTCCAAGTTCTGCCTCGACGACGACGTGCTTCCGGACGGCACATTCGTGAGGAAGGGAACGCGGATGACGTACCACGCCTACGCCATGGGGCGGATGGAGGAGTTGTGGGGGAGCGACTACGCCGAGTTCCGACCGGAGCGGTGGATCAGGCACGGCCAGTTTGTGCCGGAGAGCCCGTTCAAGTATCCGGTGTTCCACGGCGGCCTTCGCGTGTGCCTCGGCAAGGAGATGGCGCTGATGGAGATGAAGAGCGTGGTCGCGTTGGTCATCCGCGATTTCGACGTCGACGTGCTCGGAGGGAACCGACCGCCGAAGTTCGCGCCCGGCCTCACGGCCACCCTCAGTGGAGGGCTCGCCGTCAGAGCACGCCGGAGAACGGGCAGTGCCGCCCCACACGGGACAAGCTAACAACCACATGTGTCAATGGCCAAAAATGCACTGCCAAAAAAAATTTATGCTGCAATTCTACTAGAAAAATTGTACAGAATTTTCATTAACCGCCCATTTAACATATTTTTTAGTCTCAACTGTCAGTTGGTATCCGTCAAAACATTTTTCTGGTTTCCAACTTTTACATGAAAAATGAGTATATAATTATGATGTTGATATTTGTAATATTTATATATATATCATATAACTATATATATTTTTTAAACTGTATTAAAATGTTGGGGGGGAAGGGGTTTACAAAAGCAGCAATGCAGGGGTCATTACAGTCCCAAAAAACAAAAATTGGAGAATCCACCGTTCTCCTAAAATTAGCAAATCGGCATGCTCTGCTGTTAGCATCATGAGGCGCATGGACCATACTGACAACCTGAAGTTGGGAAGAATAAAAATCCGAAATCTGATAAAATATTTGTAAGGAGCCATGGGAAGTTTGACGTTTCCTAGACCAACTATGATGATGCAAATGGTAGTGAGATTTAAATCTACAGCCTTTTGGAGCCGTTGTAGCATCGTCAAAACTTGTGCTAGTATGGGCAGATTAAGTGTGGAAGTTGTTGCCTCCAATCCCACGGGTGGAATGATCGCTTGCACGGAGAACGTAATCTCTGATAAGTAGATGAGATTTCCTTAACCGTTGAGGGAAATCTCTCTTGAGCGAAATCCTCTAACCTGTTGAGGAAAATTCTCCCTTCTAACATGTATAAAAGGAAGGGGATATGTTAATAACAATCAACTTCTTCTACAACTTGTTTATCTATTTATTTTCTAACATGGTATTAGAGCAGTTCCTCCTTGGCGACAGCAGTATCGCCGTGTGTTAGCCAAGCGGCCACAGTAACAATTCAGAGCCGGTGCTAACGAGCACCGTCTTGGCTCTGCTCATCCACTCTTTCTCTTCCTTCATCGTCGGTCTTGCTTTTCTTCGCCGGCCTTGCTCCCTCTCCTATTTGCTGCCTACAGCAGACACTCTTTGTCGCCGTCATGCAAGGAGGAAAACATTCTCTCACTGCCTCCTCAATAGCGGTGAACGGCGAACAGTGGTGTCTTCCTCGCTTCCCGGCCAGCAACAGTCGCAATTGCTGCATCTTCCTCTACCGCAGCAGCTTTCGCTGCCGCTTCCCTCTACACAATGACGCCTCCTTAACGGCGGTGTCCTCCTCCTCAATAGCGACGAACGGCGAACGACGGTGTCTTCCTCGCTCAGTCTTCCTTGCTTAACAACGGCTGCCGCGTCTTCCTCCTTCGCTGTCGCAGCCACTTCCCGGCCAGCAGCAGCCGCAACCGCTGCATCTTCCTTCCTCTACCGCAGCAGCTTTCGCTGCCGCTTTCCTCTATACATCTAATTGCTGCAGATTTCTCTCACTGCAGTTTCCTTGAGTACCGCTGCAGATTTTCGTGGCTATTTCCCGACGAACCGCAATCTTGAGTACCACTGCAGTTTTCGCGGCCATCTTCCGGCGAACTGCAGCCTCTACAATCTGCTGTAGCAAGCAACAATCCACAGTAGCGAACCGTAGTCTTGAGTACTGCTGCAGTTTTAGCGGCCAGCTTCCGGCGAACTGCAGCCTCTACAATCTGTTGCAGCAAGCAGCAATCCACAGCAGTGAACCACAGTCTTGAGTACCGCTGCAGTTTTCGCGGCCATCTTCTGGCGAACTGCAGCCTCTATAATCTGATGCAGCAAACAGCAATCCACAGCAGCTGCTAGCAGCTTTGGGCACTGTTGTAGATTGCCCAATCTGCTGCAGCAATCTACAGCAACAGCCCC